TGCCATAAAGAAGGCAGAAAGAACACTGTGGCCCGGGAGGAACTGTAAAGTGGTACACTCATTGAAGAACGATTTGATGGCTGCTTAGTTAGCCAAAACCATATAACACAGAAGTTTCATATCTGGGAAAACACCAAAGGAAAATGACATCTACCCATTGTGAAACTTGTATGTAATTAACAAAAACCTGGGTTGGGGCCAGGGATATAGCTCAGTGGTTAAAGCGCTTGCCTGATAAGTACAAGGTTGTGAGTTGGATTCCTGGTACCAAAATAATAATAATAATAATAATAATAAACTGGACAAAATCTAATACCTACACTGAATTTTGAATAACAGTGGAATATGTTTAGAAAAAAGCAGCCAATCGCTGGTAACTGGTATTAGGTAGACTAATCTAAAATTTTTTGGAAAGTAAAATTAAACACACACTAAACTGCTTACTAAATAATTCCATTTATATGGGATACCTAAAAAATAAATTTATAGAATGAGGAAATGAATCAATACTTACTTGTGGCTGAGTAACTGACATTGGAAAGAGAGATGTTAGTAGGCTCTAAGGAATATTTTGAAAAATTACTAACATTTCTAAATGAAATTATGATGATTTACACACAACTTTGTAAATTTATTAACTTCACACATTAACAATAAGTACTTATATACAATATACCTCAACAAAGCAGTTATAGAAATAAAAAGAACTACCTGTTAGTTGTCCCTGTTACTAAGATCCAGTGAAATCTGTCATAACTGTCTATTATGTATGACGATCAAAAAATTGGTGACAGATGAGGAAGATGAGACAAACCAGTTTCCCAAGAAAACATTTCCAGCTTTTGAATCCAACAATGTGCACCAGGTTCTTCACTATTATCAATGCTAATTAGTCTTCCTAGCCTTGCAGATGGAGCCAGACTAAGACTGCCCTGTACACAGAGACGCCTTCTGCAAAACCAGAAGAATTTCTTCGGTTTCTTCAGCAGCTGTGTTTCCAGGACCACATGATACTAAAAGAGGGTCACTTTTTATGTATTACACTTTGTGCTTTCTGTTCATTTCTCTCTAAGTGAAGAGAAAATAATATCTGCAGAGTCTGTAGTAAGAACAATACTTCCTGGCAGGTCCGCGTGCAGCCTTGAGACACACAGAGCTCAGGGCACTTCGCAGTGGAAACATTTGTTCTCAAATTTAAGGTGATGCTGGAGTTCAGGTCCAGCCCAGGACTTCGTGACTGCAAAGCTCATTACCTGTTCTCTCCAGTGTGCTGCCTTTGCTTATTGGAATAAAAACACTTTGAAAAATACTGTACGTAAAAAAAAAAAGCAGCTATTAACCACATCTGTGAAATGTACACACCAAAAGTTAAATGATTTACTCCCAAAAAAATTGTATGATATTTAATAGATTATTCACACATTTCTCAGTTGTAAATTATGGTACAAAGCAAAAAACCACTATCTATTTGTGCATCTCATTTTGAAATTATTTTTCCAATGAAAAAAACCTGTTTCCCTCTTTTATTTGCAGACTGGAATTGCTTGACTTTTAGGGCTGCGCTTGGCTACACTCATATTTCTTAGCATACTAAGAAAGGCACAGAATAGTTCTATTTTCAGACAGTTCAGAGGCCAGAATGAAAACACACTGGGGATGGCTTTCCTCTTTCTTTTGGGAGGAAGGTGCACTCAAGTTTATTCTTGCTTCTAACACCCAACCACATCCTGTTTCCGAAAGGGAGTTAAGGTCAGGCACGGTGGTCCTGGGAGGCTGATGCAGGAGGATTGCATGTTTGAGCCCAGCCTGGACAACTCAGCAACTTAGATCCTGTCTTGAAAACAAAACACCTTTTATTTTTGTAAAGGACCAAGGAGGTTGCTTGGTACTAAACTAGGCCATGAATTCCACTTGCAGTACTGTCAACAACAACAAAAACAATTATCAGCTTTGTTAGATTTTTCCAGGAATAATGAAGATACTGGAGGTTACATTTACCTCCAAATAAGAACTTACACGTATTTGCTGTGGCGCTGTTTATGCGCATCCAACGCCCCGGGCTAACTGCAGTGAGTGTCCCTCCCCAGGCCCTGAGCCTCCTGCAGGAGCTCTACTTCCCCGCAGCGCGGCACCGGAAGCGAGTCCCGCACAGCAGCACCGCGTGCACAAACGCAGCGCCTCGGAGCGCAGGAGGCCGCGGTCCGCGGGACCGCAGTGAACCGCAGTGTGCTGCTGTGCGTTGGAAACGCTTGGGGTGGACGCACAGAGCGTGTTCTCACACAAACACGAGGGCCTGGGGCAAGGATAAGCTAAATATCTTTCGCCAGTTCGTCCTGCATACAAGGTATGACCAAAATGATGGAATAAAACAACCGTGTGACTAACAGACGCGTGGCTATCAATTCCCTCCAAACACACCCCTCACCGCAGCACGCTCATCCCATGTCCCGGCTGCTTTCCGGAGCAGCTCTGGAGTTCCTCTCTCCGTCGCGTCTTCCTGAGGTGTGATCAGAGCACAGCGAACGCTTCTGAGAGCGCCCTCCAGAGGAAAGCAGGCCCTGAGAACATCGCATGCGCCCCCGTCCGGGTCACCAAATCCGGCTCCCTGCACGGCTTGCTGCTCCCAGAGGATGAAGGGGAACAGGATCAGCTAGGACGCTGAGCCGCCAGGTCGGCACACTAGAGGCAGGCAGGCTCCGGAGCTGAGGCAGAAGGAGGCTCACACTGCGGGGTGCGTGCGTGTGAGGCACAGGGGAGGGTTTTGGGGGGCGTTAATGGCGGTGTGGCTTTTAAATATTTTCAGATGTAAACGTTCACTGTTGTTTTTGATCACACTGCATATATGATTTAAACGTTATACTTGATAAATATTCATTATTTCAAACTTATAAAGATATATTCCACTTAAAACATTAAGTGGCAGTCATAGCTAAAAATAACAATGACCCCGTACAAAGTTGTTTTCAACTAAAGGAGGCTTTTGTTCGGGTGGTCAGTGGCACAGGGTCCACCCAGGAGCCTGAGCATTCTGTTCTGAGGCCCACCTGCCACCAGCCCACTTGCTGATGCTATCTCTTGTATCGCCTTGAAAATTCACATATGGAAAGCTGTTTAAAATTCTAAAGATTTAGTTGAAAATATTACAGAGTTTTTCAAAACACTTAATTTAATGAATTGTGTTTCCTAAACACACATGAAAAATATGTTAACAATCAATATGAGATAAATATAACAGGGAAAATTATTATTATTATAATTATTATCATCTAAGGTAGATACCAAAAGAAAAAACTGGAATGTAGAGAGAAGATACAGTATGCTTCTAGAATTTTTACTGTTGAGAAAATGTGTTACAGTAAAAGACACATGGCTTTTGTCATTCTGCAAAATTTATGTATAGAAGAAAGTGAATTTTGTTTTGAGATTACAATATTTGTAAAAAAACAATAGAACTTATTCATCATTCTTATATTTTAAACTTTTTTCTAGTTGATGTAACAGAAAGTAAATAATGAGTTGCTTAATGTAAATAAGGCTGAGGAATAATTCTTTTAAATAGAAGAAAACACTGGTAGAAAATATATTCATTGACACAGGGTCTTGATGACTTAGGAAAATGATTTGATGATTTCTATTATTCATCCTGCGGAAATAATTTTGGCATTGCTTTAATGTATTATTTTGTTTTGTTTTATGAGCTGAAGGAAATTAAAATATTTTTCAGCAATAGTTTCTACAAAAGGAGCCTGTGGATTTTATGATTCAAACCTGGGATATTTATCAGTGCTTAAAATACAGTTTGAATAACAATAATATTATGAAAGAATTATCTGTCTTTAGCAAAAGAGACATTACCTAGTCCTAAAAGGAAAAAAAACAACGTAAGCCTCCTGGGTGATTCATTTTCCGTGAAAGTAGGGAGGAAAACCACTCAAATCAGAAACTGTGGATCAAAATCTGCAACAATGATTAAAACACAAGAACTATTTCCAAATTTTCTTTGTTATATCAGAGTTGTAGACACCCAGAGCATACACTCAGCAGCTTACTGCCTGCACACCAGTTAATGAATTAATACATACTTTCATGGTACATACATTGGTATTTTATGCTGATGTGTCCAAGAAACACAAAGGATAAGCAACACTTGAATGAGAATATAGGAAATGTTGCTTTAAATTTTCATTTACTTCAAAAAATTTACCTTTCCTCTCACTGATTTAAATAATGGAATATACACTTGGAATATAAAATTGTACTACTGTTCGAGAGCTTCAAGCTCATGACTGACAAAGCAGGACAGGAGCGATCAGGTTGGAGGAGTAGCTGGAGTCCGGACAATCAATACACAATGTGAAATTCTGCTTTGGATCTTGACACAGGGTTAAAGCATTTGGACAAGTTCTTTGGATTTTTTAATAATATATCAATGTTACAAAAAATTAATATATCAATCCTAATTTCTTGGGGGAAATTATTTTATTTTAGTGAAGTAGATTTTAACACTAGACAAACTGGACAAAGAGCAAAAGGCTTCTGTGCTATTTTCTGAAGCCCAAAATTATTTCAAAGCAAGTTTAAATGTTCCCTCATCAGCTTTGGGTTGTAAAAGGGTACAAATAGTGAGACAAAAGAGCACAATTGATCATGTTTGCACTGGGTAAATACATGAATTTATTTCTTAGAAGAACCCAAGACAGTTTTTTACTTCCTATATAAAGATACTTTATATTTCTAAAGCTACTGACCATTTTACTTAACAAATAATGAAGCACTGCAGGAAACGAAAAGTGATTTGATATGTACCACTAGTGGCTCTTTTTATGAGGCATCACATCATTTACGTCTATATGCTAAAATGGAAAGCTTGCTTAATTTTAGACATTTTAAGACATTTTTTGATATAAAAGTGGCTTTCTCAAGTTTAATGAATCATTTAAACTGGAGTCCAAATACATGTGTCACTCTGACACTGGAATAAGAGGGTTTGATTTCTTTACCTGACACAGTGTGGTCCTTGGAGTCTCTTGTGATTTTGATCCGCGCGTGGGGAAAGACGTAGTGCGTGGTCTTCCCGTTCATCTGTAAGATCTGAGACAGACATGCAGTGTGGTGAGCACCAGTATCACATGTATCTGTGCACACAGTCGGGCCTGGTCACTCACAAGCATGCTGAATAAACCAGTGGAGATGCACTAGAGTATTTAGAGTATTCTCGAGAGATGATACTGTGAGACTCTGCCCCTCACGTGGCAGAACCCAACATGTTGCTGAGTTCACTGTGGCCTTCACAGTGGAACCAACTGCTCGTGAAAACGGATTTGTTCTACCAGGGAGATTACTGTGTGCGGCAGCTCTGGAAGATGTCTGTGAGGACAGCAGCGTGTAGTTACTAGTGATGACCCTGTACTGGTGAGTCGGGACAGGTGGGGATGGATGTGGAAAATCGCCAACCTGAGTGTACCCTGGAGAGCCTGGACAGTGTACCCTGAGTGACGATTGTGTTGAAACCGAGAAATCCAGTGACACTGTATCTCTGTCACCATTAGTAGCAGCACCTCATGTTTCGGGTGCTTGACCTTACTGGGAATTACACCGCTGGATACATCTACAGAGCAGGCGGTGTGTGCAGCCTCACTTTGAGTGAGGAAGGCCTTTGCCCTTTCTGATTCCTTCTGAAGCCTCCTCTATACTTAGGTTGTGTTGGTTCTGACTGAGAAGCTCCTGAGTGGAAGCAGTGACATTACAGCTATTGCTGCAGGTCTGTGATCTCCGTTCTCATACTGAGGACCTGCACATGACAGACTCTAGGCTGCATTCTCTCTGTCCCCACCTGGTGAAGCCATGCTTCTGAAACAAAAGCACATCAGCAAATCAAGATTTAGGTTTTAGACTTTATGGAACTTTGATTTTAAGTGAGATTTGTGAAATGATAAAAATAGCAGTACTGAAGGTTCATTTACATGTAAGTTTATGAGCAGGATTGTATCAATAGGAATCTTGCATCTATTATTGCCTGAGGAAAATTTTTACTTAAATTAAGTAAAGAAAAAACTTAGTAAGATATCTGCTATTTTAAAATCAATTTGAGAATTACGTGGCAATATTATTCCAAGATAATGAACAGTATTTAGAACTAAAGGGATGTATATATCAGGGAGACAGGCTCCTAGAAAAATGTGAGTAACCTTGAAGAACTCTGGTGAATCTCTTTGTAAAATTATTAGGATTCTGAACATTAAAAGTAAATAGATATTTAAACAAATACAAGCTAAAATTACAGCCTTTCATTTTTATTCTTAGAATTAAATAAGCTTAATAAGTCCTCAGACAAACATAAAATACTTCCCAAGCCATGGTGAAATCTTGTTAAGTCCAGGAATATTATATAAATTTTCTATAGTAAGTTAAACTATTGTTTGTAGGTTATTAATATAGTATAACCAGCATAAGCAGATAATTCACTCCAATGCTAATTTCCTAGCCCACTAGTCCTACTTAAGTTCACTGGAGCTGGGATTTTGCTCTCCCCTCCTCTTGCTCGGGTCCCTCTCCCTCTGTCCCCCTGGCTCCTCACTCTCCCATTTCTCTCTCACCTCCTCTCCTCTGCCTCCCTACCATTCCCCACTTGTTTTTTCCTTCTGTTCTCAAATCTGCACTTTAAGATCTTTTTTTAACCAAAAACTATGCCAGTCACATTGAAAATTTTACCATATTACACAGAAATGAATTTGGTGTGGTACCATACTTGGAAAAATTGATGCGCATTATTTCATGTCAGCTCAAACATCTTTTAACTGCACGTATTATTTAATGAAAATTTTTAAATGCTATTTTTTCCATCAATTTGCCAAAAAATAAACTGAGAAGTCACTACTTTGCCTTTTGATTTTGTTTCCAACTTCCGGCTTGGGGATTGCTGCAGTATAATCTCCTCGTGCATCTTGCCCAGTGAGAAGGGCGGGCAAGTTTCCTAAATGTGTCACTTTATCAGCTGGCCACTATCTCCTTTTAATTACTATAGCAGTGTTTGCAGAAGGGATATTAAATGTGTTCATTTACATGAATGCCACCTTCACAGCATCTCCACACAATTTCCTGTAGTTTCCTAAGATGTCTACAACCAGCATGGTCATTTAATAGGTTAAAAACTTTCCCTTGTGTAGTTATGAACAATATGATGAAGAATCTTCACAAAGCAAGGATAAGGCAGGTGGGCCACAGTCTTTTGCTAACTAAGGCAGGTGAATGTCAACGTCCTCCAGCAAGCCCTGCCTTTGCCCAATAAGACAGGACCAAGGCCAGTGCAGCATGGAGGTGCTAATGTCCCACCCCCTCGTGCCAAGGTCTGCTCTCTGTTGTCCTTGTCTTTTGAGGACTCTGCATAGACAAAACTGCCATCTCACGCCTCCCAGAATAAAGGCTTGTTTTCTCTTTTTTTTTTTTTTTTTTTTGTCGGTTTCCTTTTTATCGGTACCAGGGATCGAACTCACGACCGCCTGCTTGCAAGGCAGGTGCTTATGCCGCTGAGCTAAATCCCCAGCCCCACTTGTTTTCTCTCTTAACTAGAAATATTTCAAAATGAACTACTTTATCGAATTGAGCCTTCATAGTTATGAATAATATTCATGCCATCATTTATTTGTGTAGATATTCATGCACGCTCTCCCTACCCACCACACAGGCCGGATGCACAGAATGGTGTGCTCTAAGGGTCCCCAGCACCTTTCCAGGTGAGGCACAGCTCTGTCCCTGCTGTGTGGGACCCAGAGCCCTTTGCTCCAGCTGTTGCCAGCCCAGGACAGAGTGCCGGCTGCTGCCTAGACCCAGCTCGCTGCCGGAGGGGTAGTGTCAAGGAAGTCTTCCCACAAGACAGGGCATGGCCATGGGGCCTGAGTACTGACCAGAGCTAACCAAGAAGAGAGGAGCAAATGCCCTGGGAGCTAACAGAGAACAGTCATATGCCAGCACAGAGAGCACAGCGCCCGGTCAGCAAAGACTTTGCTTGATACCAGGCAGGGTGCCGACCACACCCCCGCACAGCGCATGTGTTTCCTAGATGAGCGACTGAAGGAAAGTCTTAGGGACATGTGAGGTGAGGGGAGCTACTCAGTTCACAGAGGAGGGCTAGATTGCCGCTCAACACTGCAGAGATAAAACATGAAACACATGTATTTGAAAGGAAACAAATGCAGGCCTGCAGATTTGGTCATTCCTGCACTGAATATGATTAAGAGCCTAATAAACTTTCTCAAAGGAATCCTTCTATCCCTCTAATGTAGTTTTTACATAAGATATTTCAAAGCAGCTAAGTTAGTGTTTGCCTTCATTAATTTGGTATTATTTCTTTTGCTTCCAGAGCACTTTCAGAGCATAAATCCTGGCTATGGGTGCGTTTTCAAATAAAAATATCTGCATTTATTGGTACCAAGAGCTCAATATTATCTCTTTATGACTAGAGTAGCAAGGGAGGGAATGGAATGAGAATGCCATTTGGCTTTTCTCCAGGCCAAAATGCAGCTGTAGTGAGTTCAAGAGGGAGGATCCAAGCATGAATATTAATGCAGACAGTGTGGATGTTGAATTTCATATAGTTAAACTTTGGAATGTTGTGTAATTAAAGTATATGTTATCTTCTAAGTAATGTCTGTTTTGGAAAAAACAACCTATAACATAAAGCAAATCATTGCCATGAAAGCCCCATGCTCATTTCTTGTTTGGGACTGGGAAGCTGGGGATCCTGAGGGCCCACGGGCTCTTTGAGGTCAGCAGCGCCCCCCTTTTTGGCCTGTGTGGTGGTCCTGGGCTGGCTGCCTGCTAACAAAGCTTTAACCAGATGCATTTTCAGTTTGATAACTGCGTGTGCAGTGGTTTTTGCTCATTTAAGAGATATCAAAGTAGAAATCTAAAAAAGATTAAAATATAAACATTGTTACCACCATGAAAGCACACATTATTCGATTAAATTCGGCTAACAAAGTTTTTTTTAATTTTATCAACCATAGTGAGAAAATTATTAACATTCTCAACATTCTACTAGCTTAATTTTGACATTAATCAATAAGGATATATTGCTTAAAATATGACCGTTTATACATCATCAGTAGATCAAAAGCCATATACCTATGCATGTTAATAATGGAAACTTTAAAGTATCCTGATAAATATTCGTGTTTCATTTGCCTACAAATGAATAAAATTTTAGAAAACATTTGTAGGTGCATAGATATTAGTTTAATGTACTCTTGAATAATATTAGATGAATAAATTTTTGGAGAACACTATTCTGTCTATCCATTGGAAATGTAGATTAAGAAGATGATGTATGGAAGTTTTTTAGCACTTCATTTTATATAGTGTGTCTTATGATTTGATTAAAGTATTTATATTTTTGTATCTTGATCTATTTCTATTGGAAGAAATATTCTGCTTCAGAGAAAAAAATTAGAAGGTTAAAAATGTAACAAGTATGTCAATAAAGAAGCTATTATAATAAAATACACAAGAAAGTTATCTTCATTTGACACATTATTTACTAATTGTAGATTAGAGAAAATAAATTAAAGATTCCAAAATATGTTCAAATATTTTATTGCTTGTCTAATTCCTCATCAAATCTTTTCAATGAGAGAGAATATTTATAATGTACGGAGAAGAATTTGAAGGATACTATGCAGGAAAATGAAAAAATAAAATTTTGGGAGAAGGAAATTTCATTTAGTAGTTGCAGATTTGTCCATGAAAACTACAATTGCTTAAGAAAAAAATCAAATCTGCAAATATAATATATTGACAATCCCTATACATTCTTTTACATTTCAATATGACAATTGAATTACTATACTTTCCATATACGTCTTCTTAGTTGTTTACAGTAAGGTTGTTGCCACACTAGCGAATCAATAACAGTGTAATTTAGGAGTTAATCTATGCTTGTTATGGATATTTTAATGATCATAACTTGTAATATCACAACTTGCAAATATCTGACGTGCTCTGGCAACTGACTCAAGACCATTGGGTTTACCAGTGGAATCTCCTTAAGGTAGCCAACTGTTAATCTAATAGATGTTTTTCAAAGTTTTGTCATACTTGAATTATTATGTGTACCTCTAAGATTTAATTTCTTCTTTAAAAAGATACTAATAAAGTCTAATTGATGGGAGATTTTATACAAAGAAATAAAAATATGATGAAATAATTTTCTCTATTTAGTAGACCTCACTAATAATATCAGTTAGCTCCCTTTTCTGCTCCACGTGAGGCCTCCTTCCTCCCTTAGCAGACTTGGTCTGGACTCTCTCACTTGCTGTGTCTAAGTCCCTAAGCAAACTGGTATGGAGAGAACTGAGAATCTCACACATCCTTGTACTCAGTATTATTGCCAGCTTTGCAGAGCTCCGTGTGCTGACCTTGTGTACCAGTGCTGGCCATGCTATATAAATGCAGTAAGCATCTGTTGGAGGAGCAAATCACTTCCATTGTCTGGCAGAAGGGTCACAGGCATCATTCAAAGCCAGTCGTTTCTGATGAAGCGAAGTGCTTCACTGAGCCATCCCTGACCTTAACCAAGACCACTCCAAGGTGGAACTGACTGTTGATAACCCAAACAAGGATACTAAACACTGTACTTACTTGCTCTTGATGTTGACTGAGCGGCCGAGAGTGGACCAGTCTTTCTGGCAGCTTTCGGTCCAGATGTCCATTCTCCAAACGTGATTCTCTGGGTTTATCAAACCAATCCGTCTCTTCTCGACGCAAGTGATAGGCTTTGGGGACCAAGGAAACATCACACATTGCAACTACACTACACAGATGACAAGAGGCAGACGCCGTTCTGCAGGACCAACATGCACCAGGCTCCTCTCCACACATGCACTTCCAACACAGAGGGAATTGGAAAATCCAAGTTTCCATGATTTTGTCAAAGATAACATTATGTTCACACTCATCCTATAGTCACCTACGCAATTAATTCAGAGCAAAAGAAAAGAGCACCAAATTTTAAAATCAGGATAAAATGAAACATATATAGCGACAGATAACGAAACAAGACCTTTTCTAGTTAAGTTCAGTTCATGAGTCCCAACTTCCTCAAGCCTCCCTATAACCCACTACCCTGCACTGAACACCTCAAGAAACTGCTCCTTGGATATGGAAGTTTCTTTCACTTTTCTGCAGTTGCATAAACCTAGTGCTCATACGTGACCGCTGGCTTTAACAGTAAGTAAATATTTAACAAAACAAAACCAGACATTCACAAAAAGCTAAAAATACTTATTTCAAGGAATGTTATTGCTAGGAACATGTCTTCCGTGAGTATTTGGTTCCATGAGCTTATTTAAAATATATATCTATTCGCTGTTTAATGTCAATAAAATATTTTCTGGAGAAAACACTGGTTTAGAAGTTTGAAAATAAACTGCAAAATAACTTCACATTCTACACACTTTTTTCCCTTAGTGAATACAACTATATTCAAAGTACCGTTAATACGTAAAACATTTCGGCTTGTTCCATTGGTGCCTTCAGGTTTCCTGAGGTTAATGCAGGTTTCTAATCTGGTGATTAAAAGCCCTCTTGTAGCTAAGCTGCAGAACTTGACCTGACGCACGGTTATGTTCTCTGTAAAGGGCCCTTCAGCAGCAGTCCTTGGACACTGCCACCTCCCCAGAGGGTCAGCATCCTTCTCAAGCGCCACCTCAACATGCTGGTCCTTGATGCCCCAACCACACTTTCTTCCACGCGGTTGCCAAACGCCACACTACTCAGTTCTCTTAACCTCCCGTTTTCCTTTCCTGACTACATCCTTACCCATCTTTTCTGTGAAACTTTCTAACCTCTGTTCCCAGGCCTTTGCATCCCTCCTTTGCTGGCCGGCTGCATGTCCATGGTGCCCGCACCACCGCCCGCCTCTACCTGCTGTGAGCCTGGCGGCTGCGCAGCCGCAGTGTTTCGGGTGATGGAAAAGGAGAGGCACGAGGCCCGGCTTCGGGCGGGGACGAAGCTGCACCTGTCTGCCCTGAGCGCACACACTGCGCTGCCTGCGGGACTGAGCCGCGTGCAGGCCAGGCTCCTGCCACCTTTGTCTGGACTGTTCCTCCTTCAGCACTGAAAGCAGCTCCAACACAGGGTGTGACATTCAGGGCACGTTTGTGGAGTGAATGAAGGGGACGATGAGTAGTCACCAACCAGAGAAAAAAGCTAAATGATCATGATAAATATATTTTAAAATAAAGATTATTTTCTACCTGAAGTTCAGGTACACGTCTCTTTCTCACCATCTACTGAATAATTACTGTGGTATACACGGTCTTAATTTAGAGCAAGTGACTAGATTTACAAAAAAAGTCAGTATGATAGGCATTAGATAAGTAAACAAAAATGCATTCATCAGCCTGAAAATTTCTTAATTATCCTTAACTACACTAACATTACTTTTGTCTAATTTGTTATATCATTATTACATATTTCTTGCAAAAATAAAATAATCCATACTGTTTTTAATGAATGACTATGTCATATAATGTTGTATATGATTTAATCTGATTATATAGCATTGCAGGTTGCATTTGGAATATAATTCTTTACAACACATATGATATTCATGGCTAAGTCTGTCAATACAAATAAGGCAGGTTTTCAACTTAATCCAAACTTTGTCTATGTCCAATTATGATTAACTATCTTGATATTACCTGTTACTTTTAATAATATACTTACTTGGCATAGAAACACAAAATGAACCAAGACCAGCCAGGGTGAGTGAGTGTGTTTTTGAGGTGGACTCTGCCCTCATCACCTACAGTGAGTTGTCACAAATGTCAATCATTTGAAAATGCTACCAGCAGATCCATCATGAGAGAGACGCATTTTTACAAAATAAATTTTATAAAAATAATCAAGCATTTCAAATTAATTTAAATAATTTTCTAGAGATTAATATATGCTCTATTTAGAAACTTGATAATTTCTGTTTACTTCTTTACTACAGAATACAAATGACTTATTTTGGGGTCTAGTATTAATAATTACATAAATAGCTTACTTCTCAGTACACAATATTTTGGAAAGATGGTATATACTGATATTTTCTTGAAGAGATGTGATTATGCACACTTAGATTGTTTTGAGAGAAAGAATTCTATCAGTAGACACAGGTACAATTTGACTATTTCTAGCTTAGTTTCAACCTAATGATAATATATATTACGGAGTATAAATTATGTATGTCTATATTTTATCTCATGAACTAGTAAAAATTAATTTTACAGAGTACATCTGAAAAATATTGTATAGTCTATAATGTAAAATGTAATTAAAGTCAAAGAAAGGATGGACTCAGCAAGGAATTTAAATGCAGTTAAATTCTTTTTATAGGATAGTACTAAAATAGCCAGTTTCAAGTTACACTACTCAAGGTTATCTTGGTAACATTCACAGATATAGCACTACGTTTGTCAAAACTTTGTTTAGGGGGCTGGGAATTTAGCTCAGCGGCATAAGTACCTGCCCTGCACCCGGTACAGGAAAAAAAGAAAAAAAAAAACCCAAAACTTTATTTAGAAAACTACTCTGGGTTTGTAAATATCAAGAATTACATGATTGGTAAGTATAGTTTCTACGCTGTCCCTTGAAATTTAAGATTTCAAAAGGAAAGCAGAGAACTTCCCACCAGAGGAAATAACCGTATGCATGTGATATGAAAACAAAGAAAATACGTAACATTTTACTATACACATCTTTTAAAGGCAATCACTGTAATTCAGATAAATTTCAATTTTTGTATAGCTGTTCTTACATTCTTTATCAACATAATCTTTTTTTTTTTTGTCTTTTTCCTTTTTATCGGTATCGGGGATCGAACTCACGACTGCCTGCTTGCAAGGCAGGCGCTTGTGCCACTGAGCTAAATCCCCAGCCCCCTACCAGCATAATCTTTATGAATAACTTTTATCTGTTTAACTTTAAGCACCATTTTTGTCATAAAATTTCATTTACGTTGTATTCTTTGGTGTCACCTGTGCAGACTCAGAACTGTGTGAGCTGTATCATGTCTCAGCATCTACTTTAGGGAAGCAGTTCTTCATGGTGCTTGATGACTGACTGCATGTGTCCATCAAATATATAAACGGGAAATGAGCAATGAACACTCAGGTATGCTGGTGTAGTTTCATGCAAATAAATGTTACATCCTGGGATGTCCATAAACATCTATATATCTAAAATATGTTAAAAATATCTGTAAGTAATAAATAAATGAGTTTGGGGCCAGGGATTTGGTTTAGCAGTGTAATTGCCTGCCTGCGAGGCACAAGGTCATGAGTTGGATCCCTGGTACTAAATAAATAAACAAACAAATGACTGTCAAATTCTCTCCAGGTATATGCTCACCATAGGAACAGAGCCTTTATGGCTTAGTTAGGCCATAGATGTGGAGAATTTATTTTACTACAGATACGACAACTGAAGGACCTCCTTATAACTCTAAAACAGTATAAAGTGTATGCAAAATGTGGATTAGAAACAAGAGAAAATGCTAAAGACTTTCTAAATAATATAGTTTTTTAAGCTGTATCAATTTATTCAAAAAATTGATAAATTAAAAAAGACACACAGGGAGTGCTTTATTTATATGACCGTCTGGCACTAAAAGTAGTCGTTCCTTCAGGCTGGGAAGAAGGAAACAGATCAGAGGGTGACCTGTCTATTCGAATCCCACAAGAAAAGTAGCTGGCCTTCTGTGAGAGTCAGTGATTATTTTAGTTTCATAAAGTGGTAGGTTTGAGTTCTAAACTCATCTGTTTCTAAATACAGCAAGAGACAAGAATTCATTTTCATTGAAATGTATTTTCCCCTCAAGTCAAGAAAGAACTTTGACCTGAAAGAGTAGATGCTTACGTTAGCTTAGCCCTTTGGAGCCTCCAAAGGATTGAAGTGACAGTGATTTTACTTGATCAGAAATATTTTATATCTAGGACTCCAACTCCACTTTATCTCAAATGTAAGCCATAGAGGGAATTAAAAAAAATCAAGAGTCAGAGTCCTCCTCAATATGGGCATGGCTCCTCCCACCCTGGTATTGCTTCTCTCTTATTTCCAAAGGGAGACTTACATTAGAGAATATCCTACATTCTTATGGCATTGTATGATTAAACAAGGTATCACTGTATTTATTTATTCATTCATTCATTTTTGTGCCAGGGTTCGAACTCATGATCTTGCGCTTGCCAGACAGGCACTATGCTGCTGAGCTATATTCCTAGCCCAAAATATCATTTTAAACCAATTCTTACCTGTGTGTATGTGACTTAAACAGAATGTTGAGTATGAACAACTAGCAAAACAACTATGTTATGATGCAAAAAGCAATGCTAAGCGGACAAACCATGCTTGAAATCCAATTTGCTAAAATTCCAAAGTGCGAAGGTTTCAGCTGAAAACTAAAGAATGCCTCACACATACTTAGGTTATTTTTAATATCTTTAGTCCTAAGCTTTCTAGCATGTAACATACAATGTATGAATTTATCAAAATAGTATTCATGGGCCAGGGATTTAGCTCAGTGACATAAGCGCCTGCCTGGCAAGTGCAAAGCCGTGAGTTTGATCCCTCATCCCATACCAAAAAAAAAAAGAAAAAAAAAAGAAAAAAAAGTATTCATGAGCGATACAGCGTAAGTCTTTTAATGAGGATGATAAAATCCTGCATGATACCAGTTCAGACACTATTCCTAAATGCTCAAAAGGAGAATGTCCTCTGAATTGATAATTCATCCTATAAAAACTATATAATTATTGTAAAGTCTAGCAAATGGAATTAATAGCTGTAATTCCTGATAATTTCACAAACTAAAATAAACTGATGAATAATTTCAAATGTATTTAAAAGAAGAACAGTAACAATGAAACTTTCTAGCTGTGGATTTAAAGAATGCCCATACTTTATTGGTAGAATTATGTCATAATGGTTTTAGATAAGCAGGCACAAAACAAACCAAGCAATCAAGAAACTCAACCATAAAAGAAGGAGGTGAAAGCGAAGAAAAGCATGCCAGGAAATCATACACAAGATGAGACGTCCACGGAGAAGGACGGCAGTGGAGGTTAACATGCAGCACGCACACTAACGTGCAGAGCGCGTGCGGAGAGCGGGGATCGCACATGCAGCAAGCCAGCGTCCGCGCCGGGCGGTGCGGCCGAGGCCCGCGTTACCTTCGCTGTCCGACATGGCGTGCTGGAAGTCGTCCATGATGAAGGCCGCGATGTCCCGGTCGTACCCTCGAGTCCGCGACTCCTCCCGCATGTGCTGCTGCACCTCCGGTAAGGAGTGGCTGGACCCGAACTGGTCCCTGGTGTCTGCAGAGATGGGCGGCAGGGGTCCGGCCGCAGCCCTGGCCATGCCCATGGGCTGGCCCACCGGGCTGAGCGGGCTCTCCTCCTCGGAGTTCTGGGCCACGATCGGTATCCTGCCCCGACTCTGGCTGATGGGCAGGCTGGTGGGCTTAGTTCTGCCCGAAGGGGACGCATGGCCGAAGGAAACGTCCAGAGCTTCGGCCTCTTGCGCTTTCAGCCTGAGCGAGGAGCTGGAGGAATCCCTTTTGATGGACAAGTCCAGCCCGTAGACCGAGGAGGGCCGCGAGGACGGCCTGGACCTGCTGCCGCTGCCGTAGGGCTTGTCGGCTTCCTCCTGCAGCGCAGAGCGAAGGGTGCTCCCCAAAGTCCCCAGGCCCGAGCCCAGAGAGGACCCCAGGAATTTCTGTTGGTCCGTGATGTTCTTCCTGAGGCCAAAGGTGATGTCGTCCTGGAGGAGTCTTGCCCTGGAGGAAATGCCACCCAGAGACAAAGTGCTGGAGTTCATGTAGCTGGAGTAGTCAGGCTCCAGGTCCCTACTTTCCTGGATGGGCGAAAACTTGGACATTTTGGGGTCAATGAGAGCCTTCTTGTGCTTGGACTGCTTCTGGTAAAGGATGGCTGCGGGCAGCTGCTTGGCCGCCTGCTTCTCCAGCGTCAGCCTGCTGATGCTGTACTTCTCCGACTTGGGGAAGTGCCGGTAGCCGGTGTCCGCATGGTAGTAGTGGGGGAGACCGGCCAGGTGGTCCAGGCTCTCCGCTCCTCTGCGGAACTCTTGTTTGATCTGCTGTTTCAGGAGCTTTAACTCGTAAGGCTCCTCCATGGGGTCGTCCTCTGCTTTCACGTACCCGTGCAGCCGGGAGGAGGTCTGCAGGGGCGCCAGGAAGTCCGTCACCTCCTGGGACCTGCGCGCCTCGGTGGTCCTCAGGAGCCGGTCTGTCTTGGCCAGGTCCTTCTCGTGAAGGCTGAAGGCTGTGCTCAGCGCTGCGGTCCCCTTGGTGATCTCCGCGAGGTCATCGATGAGGACGTAGTTCCGCGAGGTGTGGTGGTCCATGTCCGCGTAGAAGGACTCGGCCGAGATGCTGGATATGGGGCTGCTGGCCATGCCGCTCCTCTCCTCCAGGCCGAGTCTCAGGTCCAGACTGTTGTACTTACTGCCCAGGTGGGAAACGGCGTAGGAGCTGTCGGTGGACACAGGCGCTATCATCAGGGGCTGGTTGCGGATCACTTCGTAGTTGGACGTGATCTTGGGCTCCAGGTACAAGGCGGTCTGCCGCGGCTTCGGCTGAATCACCATCATCTGGGAAGGGAGCTGGTAGGACTGCTGTGGGGCGGGCGTGGGCTGGGCCTGGGGCGTGAAGGACATGGTGGCCACGGCCTGGAAGGTCGGCTGGGTCTGATAGGGCGAGACCTGCTGGTGGAACAGCGTCTGCTGCTGGAAGGGCGACTGCTGGGTGTAGGGGGTGGGCGCCTGCGTGGGCGGGGTGGGCGAGAACTGGAACTGCGTGTAGGGGCTGGAGGGGGGCGCGAGCTGCGGCTCGCTCTGGGTCTGCGGCGGCAGGAACTGGCTGAACTCGGCCTGCGGGGCCGTTCTGGGCCGCTCCCCGCCGTGCTGGCCGTCCATGCGGCTGGGCCTGGCGCTGCTGACCTCGCTGTCCGACATGTAGTCCCGATCCTCCGCCACGCCCTGCAGGTAGGCGCGCTCCCTCTTCTCCCTCTCCTTCAGCAGCGCCTCCTTCCTGCGGTTGATCCCCATTTCCAGGTAGCGCAGCTTGGCATCGATCTCCTTCTCCTCCTCGTCGAGCTCGGCTTGCTTCTTGCGGAGCTTGGCCGACTCCCTCTCCACTAGGTCCAGCTCGCGGTCTATGTCCTGCAGGATCTTGGCGCGCGCCATGGTGTTGGTCCTGCAGATCCGGCGCCTGGTCGCGGTGCCCGCGCCTCCGAAGGCCTGCACGCCCGCGGGCGCCTCCTCTGGGGGTGGGTTGGGCAGGGTCCGCTTCACTTTCTTCTGGGAGCCAGAGGGGGTCATGGTCTGAGATCCTTTTGTCTATAACCAAGTAAATGAAACAGCGTGTGTTATTATCAAAGAGACAGAATGGCTCACATTTACATTAAGGCGATTCTAGCAATAACAAAAGAATAAAAGAAATTATGTACAATTTCAAGTATTAGTGTTATCCATGAACAATATTTTCCTTCTTGGTAAATTGGTTACAATGTTAAAACATTAGAGATAAGTTTTGAAATCAGCACCAAACTTGCTGAGTATGCAGGATTACATTTTAGATTCTAGAACACTGAGAAAGTCATATTCCCTCTAAATGAATACGTGTAAGAATACTTCCTGGGTCTGTCCCCAGAGCGTTGGTGTTAGGTACAGGCAGGGCAAGCTACAGTGAAGAAGCTTCCCCCTAAGTCTCCTCTGTGGCCTCTCTGGCCAGCCCTGCTGCTCCCCGCTGGGGCTGTCTCTCCTCCTCCTCAAACTCCACACAAAACAGGCCATGAGTGAGCTTCCTATCTACTCTTTCAAGAGTTTTCAAGATTATTTATTTCTTATATGTTCTTCGAACTTCAGAATCCTTTAATAATTCTAGTTTCTTCTCAGCATTTTAGCAACTTGCATAGGAAGCAAAAAGACTGTAATAAAAAGTCATTAGAATCATATTTAATCAGATAAAGTATATAGTTGATAAGGTGAAGTATTTTTTTACATTGGGGACTAGCTCAGTGGCACAGCACCTGCCTGGCAAGTACAAGATCTTGAGTTTGATTCCAGGAAAAAAAAAAAAGTATTTTTACTTTATTTGGTTGGTCATGAAATTGCCTTTGGAGCAGCGTGGGGCGGAGGGATGGTACAGTGTTACAACAGCAGCAGGCATGAGCCACCATTCTGACACTACACTACAGGAAGCGCTGTTCTCAGAGTTACCAAGTAACCCGAGCTCAGGTCTTTCCTTCCTCTCCCTCACAGCCCAGAGGCGGAATTCTCTCCCTTCTCCAAATACTAATGGGTCCAAAAGTACTAGGAAACACAGGAGATTATGGATTTTTGACGCAAACGTTATGCCTTAATGAAACGCATTTGTCAAGATTAGGCTTCCATTGCCTTCTCATTTCCAAATCCATTTCCTTCATGGCTGTTATCTGCTCTCTGGCATCACATTTCTGCTCCTACCTCACAGACCACTGGCTGCTTCTCTAACAGACATCCTACTATCAAGCAACATGCAGGGACTCACTGGCCGTTACATGTATTTCTGAAATTTAGGACATTTGATGGGTGTGAATCAATGCTGTGCGAACGTGAAAGAGGTTACAGTGATTTTCTAAAGCTGTATTTTGCAGATGTTCCTCCCAGCAACATCTGTAGAAACCTAGGCATATTCTTAAGGGAGCTTCCCTGGACACTGCTTATTATCTTTTACTCTCAATTGTTTTCACTTTCTGTAACAGGCACAATTAAGTCATACAGTTGTTATACAGATGAGACAACTGTGTGACACTGTAGCTACCAACTAAAAATGAGGTCCTTAAATTTTACTTTTATAGAAATTATGTTTTTTATAAATGCACATTACAAATCTTTTAACAAATGTTTACTCATAAAAGTATGCACTTTTCATTATAAATATCACTAAATGGCAATCAAATAATTGAAATCTTACAATTATCTTAATAACTGTATGTTAATAGTAGCACAGAAATGTGTCTCATCTCATAATTTTTAAAGCTTTTCTATAATAATCTCCCAGTCATCTGAGAATGATGGTGTTTATTAGGAGGCTGACTATTATACACTGTTTGCTTTCCTTGATACGCATGTGGTACATTTGGGATATGTGTAACAATTTTAAAATTTAAGATTTTCTTCTATTCCACATGCCTATGAAATGGTTTAAGGGTACTTAACTTTATTATCCTGAAAGTATTATAGCATTGAATAATATGGAGCTATTTCATAAGAACATCTTATTTCACCAAAGGAGATGGACATGTCAAACATCCTGATCTGATTTTTAAACAAGGCATACACTTGTCAAGATATCACACAGTACTCCATAAATAGATAGTTACTGTGCATCAAAAAAGAAGTAGAGAGACAAACAATAAAAGAAAAAAAAAACACTGGTTAATGCAAATCTAAACACTGGTCTGAGAAGCAAGAAAAAGCACAAGACAAATTATTCCTAGGGAGAAAACAGAGGATGAAATGAAATTTCTTGGTGGCAAAATACATTTGAAATTTCATCTTTAAAATTATTATAGGTACTTATTAAGTGGGTACAAATATTTGTTGAATGAAAGAATGAAGAATGAAAGGATAAAATAAGAACATTATTTTTAACAGCTCTTAATTTTTCAGAATTCACTTAGTACTGGAGTATACACTTTGAAGAACCACAAAAGTGTATTTATTACATTAAGAGTAATTCTTAATGACATAAATTGGAAGCCAGTTTTAACTCTTGCTATTATTGTTCATACCTGTACGCAATCTTTTTCAAGTTTAACGTAGTTTCATTGTTCACAACTTTCATTCAAGAGACTAGGAACAGCTGTTTTTTTTTTAAATAAAGTTCTACATTAAAGAACATTCTGGGTAATGAGCATTTCTAATTATACATACACATATGCATACTCTTTAAACATGACACATAAGGGCATATTCCAAAAATAGGAACTGATCCATATTTGTTAATTTTTAATTACCTAAAAAGAGGAACCAACACTCAGTTTTAGTTCCTTGCATGTAGGTATACTAAATCCGTAACTACCTATAGTATCTAATTCATATTTTGAAAAGAACTAGGTTCCAGTTCCAAATATTGCTCCAAAACGACTTGCTCAGCACTTGAATTGTGTACCATTAAGCTGTTTGGGCCGTGATGGCGTTGACAGTGATATTCAAATTGCTGGTATTGATAAAGCATGAAAATAAAATGTAGGTCAGATCAAGGAGTCCCAATGCAATGCCAACAGAGGATTACTGGGACCAGGGCAGAGGCATAAACCTGAAGCCTAGGTAGGCAGCCAGAAGGTAACATGGCCACAGCAGCTTAGGATGCAATTAGAGCAAAGTTAAGCCCCATCTGACAGGATCCTCTTTAAGTTACTATCACAAAGAAACACAGGCCCAGTATGGTGAAATCTTCTGCTTTGGTCAGAAGTAGAAAATTCCATTTAAAATGTTGGCCTGTACTTTAAATGGCTTCTATGATTGAGACCCAAAACACCACGGTTTGTAGCTGCACTGGCAGAGGGGGATCCGAGAAGATCAGCTCTGTTTCCCTGAGGGCACTGGGGTTGTGCGCATGGCCAGGTGAGAGGTAACAAGCACGCTGCTGCAGTTTCTGGCCAGGATGGCAGAGGCCAGAAGGAGCACCTTGAGCCATGGAGAAATCCCAGCTCCTAAGCTTCACAGCTTTCCTTGTCAGCTCTGGTAACTGTAAAACAAGATCATCTCATGCTCTCCTCCACAATGGGGCTTTTCCACTTCTGTTGTTCACAGCAATCACAGCGATTCACGTCTGTGCCTATGGCTTTCTGCTAGGCACAGTTGTGCGTAGGGAACCCAATCAGCAGAACCACTGACAATGAATCCTGGATTTCAGTTTTAGGGTATGCATGCATGCACTCTGTTTAGATTGATTAGGATCACAAGCAACACATGCAAGTATGTTTGAGAAACTGAAGTGATGTCTCATCGTTATACCTTTAAAGGAACTGAATTTCAAGACCATAAATACTGTATAATCAAAGTAACATAAATAATAGCATTCAAGACTCTAAAAACAGAGAACCAGAACAAAATATAATCTGCTTAGAGAAGATAAAGAGTTATGTAAAAAGAAGCTTATCAGAATTCAAGGTGCTGTAATTGGAAGTCATAAACAGAGGCGATAAGAAAAGTCTGGGAAACATGTGATGGGTATTGAGATTTTTCTTGTTGATCAGCTTGGTCAAAGTTGTTTTCAGAAAGATCTTGTGTCTTTTCTCTGAAAAACAGTTTTGCACAACAAATACTGCATATGCAAATTTAAAATACATTGAAATAATTATGCAAAGAGTAGATGAAGGGAAAGAAACACAGAATGGAAACTGAAAGGTGACTAGAAGAATATCTAATTATAGATGGTAGTTCCAAGGGGATAATTGGGATGAGAGCAAATAACTTTCAGGATAAATTTTGCTGTCAAAGTTATTTTAAACATTTTTTTTTCTAATGAGAGTCAATTTAAATCACACAATCTATATGATAAAAAGTAAGAAAACTTTGCTTGTTTTGAGATATTGGGAATATTATTAAAAATAATTAAGCTATATGTAGACACATCATCTTAAAATTTTAAGAACAAATATAAAATGTATAATCTCATTATAAAAGAATCCAAGCTCAATCCAAGAATGAGAAAAGAAGGATATATACTTCATGCAAAAAGCCAAACAATCTAAAAATATACGGGAGCAAGGCATGGTGGCATATGCCTATAATGCCAGTGCTCCGGAGGAAGAGGCAGGATTATGCTAAGTTTGAGGCCAGCCTGGAGCTGCATGGGACCAGCCTAAATGACATAAACAGACCCTGTCTCAAAACACCATGAAGTAAATATGTAAGTGCATACATACATATATGCACACAGCAATCACTGTTTAAATTCACAGATGCTGTACAAAAATCATTTAACTATTATATACAGTAAATATGGCAGAATCCAATTCATTAATTTCTTAAAATAGTTAAGTATAATTCTAAAATTCATTGTGCTGTATAAAGGTACTAAAATGCACAAGACAGAAAGAATTTTTAACTTGCCAATGAAGAACTTCTTGTCACATATTGGAATAGTTTTTTAGCAAACTTCCGAATAAAGAAACTATCTCAAGATAAATTCATTTAGCCTGATCTATTACACAATGTGTACATGTAGTGAGATTTACATAGTACGCCATTAGTGTATGATTTTTTTTTTATATTTTTGTGCATCAGTTAAGAAGATTTTAAAAAGGAACTACTTCAGTGTTGTGATAAATAGCTCTCCTTGTCAG